CCACCCACACCCACACCCCCACCCACGCACGCAGTACCGATCGATCTACCTGTCCATCTGAAACGTTGCATCTATCCATCTATCTATCGCACATATATACACAATTATGTCTATCTATATCTACATCTATATGTCTATGTCTGGATCTATGCTTGTGTCTCTAGCCATGTCTATATGTATATCGATATCTGCATCTCTACCGCCGTTTGTGTCTGACTATCTACCTATCTGCGGACACACTTTGACATTCACACCCGCGCTCACATACAGATGTGGAAAACAAACAAACACACAAACACACAGAGACATTCACACATACATGTATGTATATGTATATATGATATATATATATATATCTATATATGTATATACATACGCACATATACACAAGCACACACCAAGGCACGCTCGCTCGCACGCACGCACGCAGGAACAGATGCATAAAGAAAGAACGAGGGAGGGAGAAAGAGAGAGCTGGAGACTTACACACATCATACAGATAGTATGCACAGACAGATAGACAGATGGGAATCCGTGTGACAGCCCTCGGTTTTTCTGACATGCTGTCTACAAGTGCCAGCAGCCACGCGGACGGGAGCATGTGAGCACACATGCAAACATACGCGATCATACCGACGTATGCACGTGCATATATGCATGTGAACGATACCTCTGTATGTATGTGTATATATATATATATGCATAATGAATGTTAATATGCTTTGTATACAGATAATGATGAGACTATGCAAATAACACGTGCGTGATGCGTACAAACGTTTGTGAACTGGGAGTGCTCTAGTACTACTAGTATATATATATATATATATAAATATATATATATATCAGTCTTCTGTGAAAAGTGGCATTCATTTCGCAGGGCTGCACCTGGCATATGCTCAAGGCCTCACCTGTGCCGAGTGTGCAGGTGTGATGTGGCGGTGCTTACATTGCATGATACATAGTAATTAAGAGCTCGTCCAGGAGGCATAGATCTGGCCTTCTGCATGTGCTTGTGCAAGTGGATGGTGTAGTCGCGGGTGGCTGGCTCCTGCTTGTGATCGCACTTCTTCGCATGACTTGAGCTTCCCTTGTGCGGTCCAACAGCCGTCAGAACTATTGAAGTCTGCAAAGTATTAATTTCTGTCGATGTCGGAATCAACTGTTCAACCTTACTCTTACCGAAGTGCCTAGCAGGACGAACACTCACTGTCCAAAACACTCCATTCCATCATGCCAGAACTGGCAAGACATTTTGGAACACCGTAGTGACAGCAACGTTTACAATGTGAAAGTCATAGACTCATAGACCGCGCGAGGCACGGCAATTGCTGTTGTCCCGAGCTGCAGCAAGCATTTTGCAATAGCATGTGTCCATAGCTGTTGTTTTGTCTTCTGGCTGGGCCGCTGGAGGTTACAAGAGGTCAGCACGGTTCAGGACTTGTAGAGTTTCCAGGAGCTTCTTGAAGGTCTTAGACGGGCTTCTTAAATTTGCTCGGGACTTTTGGTCTTGAAGCCCAAAGAGATGCTACTGCCGACGTTTCTTCTGATTTTCTGACATTTTCTGGTGACAAAAGGCAACAATCGCAGCGAGAACAGCAACACTAAGTAGACTTCGCAGATTGCTCTAGCTTTCACTTGTTTGATGAAACCTCGTAAAGGTTGGGCGAGTCCCTTCGTTGTGAGGTCCTTGGAGGAGCTGCCCTTGGCCTTCTTCTCTCCCTTGCCCATGTCTGCACGGAAAGGCCTGGAACTTCCAAGGAACCAGGAACACAAGTATTGGTGCCGTCGTGATCGATGAAGTCATTGCTGTTGCCACATTATGCTACTCGCACAATAAGCCTGAGTAGAGGAACGTCTGTATTGCTGTCACTGCGTCTTGCGATTATGCTTCGTAGTCCATGATCTCATGTAGACTGACAGCATACCCACGCTATTTCGATGACAATAACTCAAATATTTCCATGATGCTCGTGAGGCTTTTGGGTGAAGATTCGACTAGCCTCTCGCGGAACTCGTGGGAGCAGTGCGACGAAGGCTTTCGGCGCTGTAGTGTTAACGGACAGACCACTGATGTTGCTCGGCATGGTAGTGATGCAAGCAGCATGTCGGCGTCGACGCTGGTGGTGTAGAAGAGGGCGTTGCTAACCATCGCCGATGCTGATCGTGATGGAACCGGCGGTCACGATGACGACGACCGCACGAGTGAACAACGATAATGATGCTGGTGGTGGTGGTGGTGATGATGATGATGACCAGCAGCGATGGGGGAGGGGTGGATGACGGACAGTGATATTAGCCGTGAGGGTGTCTGCCACCACGGTTGCTCCTGATGCAGTTGTGCTGCTGGTGCGTGTGCTTGTTGCCTTTTGATTGTGGACGTGCTGGTGGCGGTGATGATGCTCGAAGGATACTATGAAGGACAAGATGATGACGACAATGACGGTGATGATGCTGATGCCGCCGATGGTCCTTGATGACGGAGCTGATTTTCGACATCAATGTGACTGCACAGATGAAGCCTTACGACAGTGCATGAGAATATTATGTAGAATCGTGGGTTCACGACCAGAGGGACAGCGGCACAGCAATGTGACTTCGACTATGGTCATGCTGACCATGGTGATAATTGCAACGTTATTCCAATCGGGATAGTGCGGGTGATTCTGATGATGCCGATGTCTGATGACAGAGATGGGGGCGGTCATTACGTTCTTGGCAACGACTGTGGTAATGAGACCCTGAAGAGGTGCAAGGTCGATCTTTGTGAGGATGATGGGAGGAGGTATGAAGGTGCTGGTGGACGGACTAGGAAGGGAAACTATGTCCTTGATTGAGCTGATATCAATGATGTTCAGGATGCCACACTGGCATCAGCCTTTCGTTCTGAGCCTTAAACCTTAGACCTAGAGTGTTGATGTTGACACGGCAGACCGGGACAGGGGATGATCATACACCAAAACCAAAACCAACACCAGCAGCAGCAGCAGCAGCAGCAGCAAGAACACGTTAATTGCACCTCCCACCCCGCCGAAGTAGCCCTTCGCCTAGTCCAGGAGAAACTTCGACCAAACGCTCCCTGCAGCAATGCAGCGAAGGCTGCCTTGTCCTCCGGCTCCTGCGAAGAGAGGGTTCCCTATCGCAGGCCGGACGCCGAACGTTTTTTGAGCCGATCCGGCGAAGGCGAAGGAGTTGGAGCTTCGGGCTTGGGCTTGGGCTGACATCTCCAGGTCGCGCATCGCAAAGTTATAACTGTAGCCATTACTGAGCTTTACTACTTATGGCCAGTATCATATCTCTTGTTCTTATGGATGTCGTAAGGATTCTGGCTGCTTTATTGATCGAGACCTGTGCACGACGGATGATGATGGTTACGACGGAGGAGTGAAAGCGATTGGTGCTTCTCCTTCTTCTGCTGATGCAGGGGTGATGATGATGATGGCGAAGGCATTTTCCTTGACCATGCTGATGATGACGATAACGATGATGCAATGATGGATGTCTTGATGGCTGAAGCTCGATTTCTAAGGCATGCTATGCTTAGTTTAAGGTCTCCATGGATTCCGCAGCACATTTTCCTCCTCAGCTGCGCTCCGTGGAGTATGTACTCAAGCACTCTAACTCTAACACTTTCTGCGGAAGATGGCAAAAGAGGCCACAGAAAGAAATACATTGACAACTCTGAAGGGCAGGCAAGCCGAAATCTTTCAGTTTCCAAGCGGAGTGAAAGGTCACTCCAACACCAGGTCTGGTGAACACATCGTGATCACCACTCCCCAGAAAGGCGGCTGGTGAGGCAAGGATCACCTCTTGAAATTGAACCTGCACGGTCAAACGTGGTGGGTCCAATCAAAGAAGAAACATTCGGGCCCATTCGGGCCGGAGCTGATCAGTTTTGACCCGAACTTAAGCCTTGGGAAAATCAGCGGCTTAGTCGCTGACCAACTGACCAATTTAAGGACACTTGGACGTGCATTGTGGCGATGAGTTCCTTACAATCACACTATGTACACTGACAAGAGGGTGAAAAGTTGGAACTGGGACATACGCAGGATGCCGAATGCCGAAAACCGATTCTCCGCCAAAATGCATCTGACCATGGACGGGGTCTGACAGGTGTGAACAAGTGCTACGACCTCCTCATTCTCACAGGATTGAGTCGACTTTGCTAGCCTTCTTTCTGCGGAGCTGCAAAGCAGCCCAAGCTTTCAAAGCATGTACCTGCAGAGTCTCAGAGGGCTGGACATGGCAGACATAACCCGACCCGAACTCAAGTAACCAGAATCCAGCCAGGCCTTCTCCCACACACCACATTGTCGCTGCAGGTCGTCCGTGTCGGACTGTGGGAGTATGCCTGAGTTACAGAACCCCACTCCACAGCTCGCCTTCTGACCCCAGCCACTGACTCAAGACCCAGATCTGCCGAGGGGCCGCGAGGCAGTGCCTGCTTGGGGGTCCTCACAATCATCCACGGCTGCGGCTTCGGTCGGATGTCCTCCGGCACCATGGCGCAGAGACGGCCGACTGGAATGCCATCACTCTTCTCGCTGCTCTCGCTGAGTCTGCGGGAGCCGAGGAGCTTCCGGAATTCATGCTCGTCCAGACATTTCACACGTTCGATGCTGGCAAGGCTGGCAGTAGGCATCGTCGACGCGAATGCCTCTGAGCTTGCGCTGGATGGAAAGTCCTCACACCTGGACTGCCTGGACTGTCGCATCATGGCTCGGCTGGCCACGTTTGTGGCCCGCGATGGCGGATGGTACATTTTGCTTGAGAATACAAGAGAAGGAAGATGGGGCGGACTGACATGTAGTCAATGTTGTCTCATTGCCATCAAAGGGAGTATAGTACTCGAACTCCACCAACCTGCCTATACGAGGCTCCCGCGGAACAAAGGTCAGCCTCCACAAAATATTTCCGGGAGTTGGTTTGGAGCGGGCTGGGTGCTAAGGGTGCGGACCTCCGTCGCTTCTGGGCAGCAATGCAATCGACTTCGGCAACTAGGTCGGTAGATTGTATATGAACCACGTAATGATGCAGGAAGGGCTCTTTTCCACAACTCGACGGGCAGCTTAACCCTGAAGAACAATCTGAACCTGTGTTCAGCCCCGCGTTTCCGCGAGATTGATGTTTATGCGTAAAGTAACTCGGCATTTTTTCCGCAGCCGCTGGCTCCAGTGCGCCTGTCGTTCCTGATCACCTCAGGGGAATCCGTTGCAAGGCGATAACACTCCTCAAAGTCGTCTGAATAATCGCTAAACTCACCAGCACCACCACCGACACCATCGACACCATCATCAACACCATCATCATCATCATCATCATCATCAGCAGCCTGTCATCATCGTAACCATTGTCGGTGTCACTGCAGTATGAAGCACGAAATGAGCTTCAACACTGCATGGGCAAGCGAACAAGCAGATGACTCATCGAACACATAACTGGTACAAATGCATATAGTCCGTGCAAGTCAGTCTGTGGATAGGCAAGCTGAAGCGTAGACCAAACACCGACCACAAACCTGTCTCAGTAGAGAATACATGGTATACAGCAACTATTCTTTGACATACGACGTAAAATGTGTAGTATACAATGCAAAAAAGGACATATAGCAAAATGTGACATGAAATGACCTAGCAACACATTTTCATTTAGTAAAAAATAATATGTTGCATTATGATAAGTGGTATATAATGCATAGTCTTACCTTGTCAAAAATATGATATGACACCACACAGTATGGTGTGACATGGTTCAATATAGTGTTGAAAAACTACAACATGCGTTGTCATGTATAACGATGACATAATATGAAATCAAGGATGTAACATATCACAACATAACATTTGTCGAGTACAGTACGCTAGAACATAGTGAGTTCTAACCTAAACATAAACGATTACAAGTATCGTGCATGATTTAAGATAAACTGATGTACAATCCAAATCAATCTTGTTGAATTAACAATGTATTCTTTGATACACTATGACATAGAAAGTTAGAACACGTTAATCAGCATGTGTTATTCGTTATGAATGTGGAGTATACAACATAAAAGACTCAACAACTCATTGCAGTACCCATGCAAGATCACATAAAAAATGTGCTTAACAGTGCTCGAGACAATGCAGACAAGCCTGATACAATGTAAACTAGTGTAGTGAACAACGATGTGGTGAATGCAGGGTGGTTACAATATAGCTTTCTGTGACATCGTGTTACACTGTAACATTGCCTTAGAACCCTCAAAATCTTAGTGAACCGAACTATGCAGCGATGCAATGCTTTGCTGCAGTGTCTCATCACACATGTAGTACAACAGGATTGTAAGCCAAAATAACGTGATATAAGCCGTTGCAATATAACATAACACAATATCACATAATTCAATACAACTCAATACAACATAGCAGAATGTAATACAACATATAAGATATTACGCTATGATTTGATGTGACATCATTTAACATCACATCGTACAGCATATTGATTTTATTGTAATGAAATGTGATAGGATACTAGCATACTTTAGCATAATACGATATGATATGATACCGTAAAGTGTCACAAAGCCGAAACAATGCCACCCAATATAAAGTGATACGTTACAGTGCAATGTATATGATGTAGTAAAAAGAAAAACAAAATCCAATATAACAAAATATCTTAGAATAGAGAATGAGATAGTGTAGTATCATATGTTGCAATACAGTGCATACAGCGTTTAACTG